GTAAAGGAAGAGGATTTTTTTTCTTTTTTCGGTGTATAATTCTGTCTTTCGGGAGAGGAGAAGGAATTCAGATCTAAGTGTAATGGTAGTGGTTTGAGTTTCTGCAGGAAATGACTTGGGGTTATTAATATGTATTTTTTTCCATTGTAAAATGATCTCAAACGTTTTAACACAAGGAGAAGATCCTACAAATCCAGAACAGCTGAAAGTCACTGTAACAGCACACAATTTACACTCTTTATATTCTGCAAAAAGCAAGGACAAAACTTTAGATCCCCTCACCTTTTCCTGTGGCCACTGTGTTCAGCACTGAAGGTCTCAGGCTTTTTGCAGCACCCCAAAGGTGTGTGATGGCTTTTGGATGCCACAGGGCACCTGCTCAGGAGTGCTGTGATTGAAAGCACAAGTCCCTCCTCTGTTTTTTTATCTGGGAGGATTTTTAAAACCCATTCAACTGCATTCCTGAAATAATGCTGACTGAAACCTGTTGCACAGTCCTCTTTAGGGATCTTGCAGAGGGTTCTGTCCAGTGGCCCCTCCAGAGCATCTCAAACCTCTGAGTGAGGGGAGACAGCTCTAACTTTGAAATAAAGTATCCTTGTAAATTTAGATTTAAATTTAAGGGCATATTCAACTCTACAGGACAGATGTAAACATAGATGTTAACACGTTCAGAAGCTGGGGATCAAATTTGCTTTTCCTTATATCTGTGCAGCTCAGGAGTGACTGTGCTGCAATCCGTGTGCACATTCCATGCTCTCAGATAATCCCCTGCACCTGAGTGATGAGTGGCTCAGAAACAATTTCAGAGAGCCACAAGGCCCTGTGCACATTGCAGAGCATAAACATTGCTCCAGTGAGGCTCCATGGAAGCTGCAGGGATTTTACACCAGTGGGTGGTAACCTGAGAAAAGGTTATTGAGTCAGCAGCACAGCCAAATGAGGCTCTGGTGGCCCGTGGGACACTGAGCTGCAGTTGCTTTCAATTCCTCTTTGTCATCCCTTCCCCTGCAATGTCACATTCCACTGACAGGCTCTGCACTACCAGATGATAACTGAGCCCCCAAGTTTGGGATTAAGAAATGAATGTAGAGATCTCATCTGGCAGCACATGCTTGGGATCTAACAACCCTCAGCCTGGGTTTCTCCAGAGACATCCCTCCCCCTGCCCTTCCCACTTGGATACTCTGTCAGGACCCCTCTGAACTTGGCCAAAGCAAAATACTTTCCTGATACTTTGGCAAATGATCAGTGAAATCTTTTCACTTCCTGCACTTCTGATGGGAAGAGGATCATCCATGGAGTGGCTGGGCACAAGAGTACCACAAGAAACATCAGTGCCCACCTGGCCAGGCAGAACTTGCACAACTAAAGTCAAACTCAGCCAAAGCTGGACCTGTCATCCACAGCACCCCTGCCCAAAGCTCACATCGAGGGCACAGATGCAGCATTTCACATGTTCCCTATCCTGAACTCAAAATTCACTCTCACAACAATAAAATTCCACCCAGAAGGTATTTTAGGAGGACAGCGTGTACAAAGATGGTGCCTAAGAGGGAGCCTCTGCTTCCAAACACTCATTTGGCCAGACAACACTTAGTTTGGAGCCTGTCACAGCTGAATGGAGCAAGCTGAATGGAACTGCCTTTCAATTTGCCAAGGCAACAGCCTTCAGCTGCCCACCATACATACCATGCCCTTCACAGCCAAACAAAGGAGTGCCAGTTATTCACAGACAATATCAAGGGCTTTGCAAGAAAAAAACTGGACATGGCTGCTCAAACAGCCCTCACCACGTGGGCTGCTACTGTCTGCTTCCTGAAAAGAAGAAAAATGTGTTAGGAAGTTCTAAAATTAGGTGCTGAGCACCTGAAAAAAAAGTTCTGTTCAAAGCAGAGAATAAAACGCTACGTGGAGCTATATTTTGAGATGGCTGGGTATGCTCAGCCTGAGCCATACGTGGCTCCAGAAGGGAAATTTTGTTCCTGAAGTAATGTGCAAGGTAGTGCAAGGTATTGCCCACAGCAGCTGTGGCTGCCCCATCCCTGGAAGTGCCCAAGGCCAGGGAGAATGGGACTTGGAGAAATCTGGGATAGTGGAAAGTGTCTCTGCCCATGGCAGGGAGTGGAATGAAATTATCTTTAAGTTCCCTTCCAATCTAAACCATTCTGTGAGTCTGTGCTTCTGTGTTATCATTTTCATACCAATACTTTTTAGAATATTACAAGAAAACCACATAGGGAATAACAGATCTTGAGGTTCATAAGACAATTTGATCCTTGATGACTTTGTGTGCAACTCCCTGAGGATTTACTCTGACAGTAATTATACACTGAGCTCCCTATTCCTGTTTGATTAAAATTCATCTTCCAAAAAAGCACTTGCAGTCCTTACTTAGACAGCTGGAGAAATGGAAAATTCACCACTTCTTCTGGTAGCTTGTCGCCCACACTGCTGAAAGATGTGTTCCTTGTGTACACAGACAAATGGGAAACATCAGTATTCCAGACTCCTGCATTGTCCCCCTTTTAATTCTGATTGATCACGCTTCTCACACGCTCCAGGCCCGTTCCACCCAGTCGGAAATGCTCTTTTAATGCCTGTGGGTGTGCAGGAGAGGCTCAGAGCATGCTGAGAGCAGAAGTGCCTTTTGTTCAGAGAACAGCTTTTGCTCTGCTGCAGAACAACTTCAGGCAACAAACTCTTTCTGAAGAGTTTAACAGGACTGAGTTCCCATGGATAGACGTGTGTACCCTACATGTTCAAGAAAACAAGTGTCTCTCAGGCTCACTGATGCCTGGTGTTGCTTAATTAAACATTCTTGTGCTGGAAGGAAAACTGGAAAGTTGAAATTAGGTATTCACTAAACAGATTAAGTAATTCTCTGTCTAGAAGAACACATTACCTCGTGTGATCACCCAAAACAAATCAGGTAACAGAACGGAAAACAATATATCTGTTCTGTTCTCTCTTTTCCCTTTGTCCTGGCCACTAGATAAAAAACCAGAGAGAGCAACTTCAAAACGAAAGGCGACAGGAAAGTTGCACGCAACCTAATTCTCAGAGATGATCTATTTACGCCAAAAATGGATCCCACGCGAAGCCTGTGGCAGTCAATCCCCTGGGCTGCCGTGCAGGCAGGGTTTGGCCCTGCTGAAGCACCCGTGCATTCCCAGCTGCCGTGTCCAGCTGCCGCAGAGGAACGCGCGGCTGCCGAGGGCGCTGGCACCGGGCGAGTCCAAACTTCCAGAGAAAAGCAGATTCCACCGCAGCGCTTGGAGCTGAGCTTTGTCAGTGGCTGAAGCTGATGAAGTAACCCCCTGCCTGAAAAATAATTCAGTTTTGTTTCTTCTCCCTCAGCAGCATGTTTGAGCCAGCCCTTTATTGAATATAGCTTTGAGCGTTTGGGGCGCGTTGGAGAGAGACACGAAGGCTGATGAGCAGCACCAGGAAGGAGAGCAGGGCTGGATTTGTGTATTTGTGTGCTCACCCCACAGCAGATTACAATCAAGTACTCAAGACAATATTTTTATAGGGCTGAACCCTACTCCTACAAGTAAATGAGATTTTCACAGCTTCGTAGCATGGCACGGAGAAATAGACAACAGTTTGCACAAAAAGTACTTTCAGGAGGGATTAAAACAAGCAAATAAATATATATTGGTCATTTTAGCACTCTGGTTTAAACAGAAATGTCTGAAGGCATAACAGCCAGTTAATTCCTATTGGAAATCAATGGGAGCTGAGGGAATACAGCATTCTGGTACCCTTGGAAATTTGTCCTTTGACTATGGACTGCCCTGTCTCTGCTTTCTCTAAAATAAGATGGAAATGCAAGGTGCTTACTGATTTTGCAGCTGTCCCCAGACTTCTTGCCTAAGGGGAAAAGTTGTCTGTGTGAACCTTGCATTCATCCCACTCTGTGCCTCCCCCTCCTCACAAGAACCAGCCACCACTAAAGCTTGAATTTTAAATCTTACGACAGCACTGCCGTGCTTTTCAGGGTAAAATCCAAAACAGGAGCTATTGTCGGGGGGAAAGGAGGCTCCTTCAGCGCGGGTTCGCTGTCCACCTCCACCTCAGCCTCCGTCCGAACGCACCCGCAGCGCTTTGCGGGGCACCTGCGGCTGCCTCTGGCTCTCCCTGCCGGCCGCTGCCGCCCCTCTGCCGGAGGAGCCGAAGCGCAGCGCCGAGCCGCCCCGCCGGCGATGCCACCGCGCCAGGGCAGCGCCAGATTCCAGCGGAGCCACCCGGAAAACTTTTCAGGCAGCGCCCGGAGAGTGAGGCTGCCCGGCGGGGCTCGTTCCGCGGGGGGCGCGGGGCGCTCCGGACACGCTCCCGGCTGGGGGAGCATCATTCCTGGCTGGGGGAGCATCATTCTGGGGGAACATCATTCCCGGCTAGGGGAGCCCCATTCCCGGCTGGGGGAGCATCATTCCCGGCTCGGGGAGCCCCATTCCCATCTCGGGGAGCCCCATTCCCGGCTGGGGGAGCCCCATTCCCATCTCGGGGAGCCCCATTCCCGGCTAGGGGAGCCCCATTCTGGGGGAACATCCTTCCCGGCTCGTGGAGCATCATTCCCGGCTGGGGGAGCATCCTTCCCGGCTGGGGGAGCCCCGTTCCTGGCTCGGAGAGCTTCATTCCCAACTCGGGGAGTCCTCTTCCCGGCTAGCAGAGCCCCGTTCCCAGCTCGGAGAGCCCCATTCCCAACTCGGGGAGCCCCGTTCCCGGCTGGGAGAGCCGCATTCCCGTAGGACAGAGCCCCGCTCCCGTCTCGGGGAGCCCCATTCCCGGCTCCGGGAGCCCCGTCCCCATCTCGGGGAGCCCCGTTCCCGTCTGGAGGAACATCTTTCCTGGCTCGGGGAGCCCCGTTCCCGGAGGACAGAGCCCCGTTCCCGGCTCGCCGAGCCGCTCTCCGCAGGGTCCCCGCCCGGGCCGGGCGCTGTCGCCCCTGGCCCCGCAGCGCTCCCGGCGCCGGGCGGGTGCGACGGTGCCGGGGCCGCCGCCGCCGCCCATGGAGCCCAACGGGACGGCGGCGGCGGGGGACAACGGGACGGCGGCGGCGGCGGCGGTGGGCGGCGGGGGTGCCCCCGGGAGCGGCCCCCTGCTCATCCCGTCGGCCTTCGGGACGGTGCTGTCGGTGATGTACGTGGCCGGGGTGGCCGGCAATGTCTACACGCTGGTGGTGATGTGCCACTCGGCGCGCTGCGCCGCCCCCATGTACAGCTCCATCGTCAGCCTGGCCCTGGCCGACCTGCTCTACCTCTCCACCATCCCCTTCATCGTCTGCACCTACCTGGCCCAGGACTGGTACTTCGGGGACCTGGGCTGCCGCATCCTGCTCAGCCTGGACCTGCTCACCATGCACGCCAGCATCTTCACGCTCACCCTCATGTGCACCGAGCGCTACCTGGCCGTCACCCGGCCCCTGGACACCCTGAAGCGCTCGCGGGGCTACCGCAAGGTGACGGCGGGGGCCGTGTGGTCGGTGTCGCTGCTGCTCACGCTGCCCATGATGCTGATGGTCACGCTGACCGAGGGGGGCAAGGCGGAGGGCAAGGTGAAGAGGATGTGTGCGCCCACCTGGAGCGTGGACGCCTACCGCACCTACCTGACCGTGCTCTTCAGCACCAGCATCATGGCCCCGGGCATCATCATCGGCTTCCTGTACACACGCCTGGCCAGGACCTACCTGGAGTCCCAGAGGAACCCCCCGCACAAGGAGAAGAGCAAGAGGTCCCCTCGGCAGAAGGTCCTCATCATGATTTTCAGCATCGTGCTGGTCTTCTGGGCCTGCTTCCTGCCCTTCTGGATCTGGCAGCTGGTGCGCCTCTACAGCAGCTCGCTGCAGCTCACCACCCAAACCCAAAAGTGCATTAACTACCTGGTGACCTGCCTGACCTACAGCAACAGCTGCATCAACCCCTTCCTCTACACCCTGCTCACCAAAAACTACCGCGAGTACCTGCGCAACAGGCACCGCAACTTCTACAGGTTCACCTCCTCCTTCCGCAAGAGGGGCTCCAACCTGCAGTGCTCCTGGGGCCGCTCCATGTCCTCCAGCAACCAGTACGACTACAGCTCCGAGGCGCTGGGCATGGCCACGCTGAAGGACAAGTGAGGAGGAGGAGGAGGAGGCGCTGCCAACACGCCAGGACCAGCAGGGCGTCCGGCCAAGGTAGGGCTTTGGGGACCCCTGAGCCCTGGAGGGTTCTGAAAACTCATTTGTGGTGCCCACGATGCTCACGCCAAGGGAGGGCTTTGGGGACCCCCAAGCCCTGGAGGGTTCTGAAAAGTCATTTGTGGTGCTTTCTCAAATGAGAGGCCAGAAGTTGTGTGAATCCAAACGCTGCGAGATGAGTCTGGAGTTCCATCTGGCTGAGGGGTGTTGGGGGTGTCCTGCCGGGAGCCAGCAGCTGTTTGGGACAAATCCCACGGGGTTTGGGGTGCAGAAGATGAGGTGGATGCTCTGCTCGGCGCTGCCACAAACCGGTTTCACGCCTGGCTGAGTTTCGGCTCCAGCTCCGCTCATCGTTTCTCTCTGGGGTTTCTCCTGGGGCTGCAGCTGGGTCAGAGCTGCAGGAATCTGAAATTGGCCCAGGATCACTTAACTGAGCTGCCGGCCTCGGGTTTGCCCTGTGTGCTACCGTTGTCTGTTTCTGGAGCGTGTAAAGAGACTTCTAAGCCCCTTTTCCTATTTCCTGTGCACTACTGTTCTATCAAGCTTAAAGTCTCTATTTTAAAATTCATTGCAGCAGCACTTTGAACTCCAAGCATTCAAAAACCACCAGGTAAGCTGTTAGAAACCACAGGATTACCTAAAAAAAAAAATTTAAAACCCTTGTAATTTTTTAAGGTTTCTGCCTAAGGTGGTTTGAATTTGCCATTGATTTTTTTCTTCTTGAAAAAGTTGGTCCTTTTCTTAAAAGTCAACAGAGCTTGACAAACCTTGGAAGAAAAATGTACCCAAAAATTTACCTTGGAAGAAATAAAATATTATTTATAATCCTATCACTCAAAGACCTGAGGCTCTAAGAAAAATGACTGAATGCTATACCATGAAACTCATCATAAAAGAGACACATTTTTTCATGACATTTGATCCAAACTGTTTTGCCTCAATGTATTCTGCTCATTTTCTCCCTGCTTGGCATCTCACAGTAAACCTTCAGCACAGATCCTGGAGATGCCTGTGGGCACTTAAACAATTGTAAAGTGTCAGTTTATAAATAAATGCTTATTAAAAACAGATCCTCCTCAGGTTTCCCCTTGCCTGGTCTCTTCACCCAGCTCAGGGGGGTGTTTATCAGGGCAGATGTGCAAATAGCAGTTTCCAGCTGGGGGGATGAAATTGGGGTCAATATTCTCCTTTCTTGTTCTGGGACAGACTCTGGGGATAAAAGCACAATACTTGTTGCACAAACTCCTGCCAGCAGCTGGTGATGCCCACGGAGTTCAGAAGCAGCAGCAGTGTAAGGAGCTGTCATTAACACTTTTTATTACTTATTCCAGCCCCATCTGCCTGAGCAGTCCCACTCCAGCCCTGCAGTGCTGCATTCCCATCCTTGGGTGCTCCTCTCGTGTCCCACACCAAACCTCAGGGTGTGATTATGGCACAGCAGGGACAGCAAGTGCCAACAGCACAGAGAGCAGGGAACAGGCACAGGACACGCTGGGTTTTGTGCTCCCAGCCAACAGAAAAAGGCACAGGTTGGATGAAGGTGTTGCTGTGCTGGAGGCAGCATTCTCCTGGGATGCTTTCTGGGGAGCAGGGGAGTGAGTCACTCACCTTGCCCCTATTGCTTTTAACTACAGGAGTGTCTCTGAAACACCAGTGATCACTTGGTCATATTCCAGTGTTGCACAGACTCCAAGCTGGGCATCATTAACAGTCCTAATGTTGTCCATTCCTTCTGAAATAGGGGACTAACACACAGTTTGTGGTGGGAACTGGCAGGGAGGGCAGGATTCAGCAGATTTTTCAGAACAACTTCTCAGAAATTGTTTAATTATTAATTCTAAACTCGTTGTTACTTTCCCTTCGGCTCCCATTTCCAAGGCTGGAAGTCTCTCCCATTTCAGAATTAAAAAGATAAGACAGAACTCAGAAGGCTTTTTGGGAAGGCTGGAGTGTGAATGTCATGTGCAAAGTGTGTCTGGACAGAAGTCCTGGCAGAACCAGGCATGGCTGCATCCCATGAGCAGGACAGGGATCAAAAAGAGTTTTAGGGACTTTGTTTTGTACTTTGAAAAAATAAAAAAATAAAAAAGCTGAACAGCCTAAACCCACAGCTATTATTAAGAGGGGGAAGCAGAAAAGGACTCCTGCATAGAACAAAAAAAGGTAGAAATGCAGAGCAGATGGGCTCTTCAGTTGTAAGATAATGTGGGGATGAGCAAACAGAGGAGCTCCTTTGGGATACACTTCCCAAGACACCTCTGAGTCCCAGTTTATAAAGTGTCAGTTTATAAATAAATGCTTATTAAAAACAGCTCCTCCTCAGTTTCCCCTTGCCTGGTCTCTTCACCCAGCTCAGGGGGGTGTTTATCAGGGCAGATGTGCAAATAGCAGTTTCCAGCTGGGGGGGATGAAGTTGGGGTCAATATTTTTCTTTCTTGTTTTTTCTAAATTTCTAAACTCAAATTAATCTGGTGGCTCACCTGGGAAGGGGATTGCTGCTGCCTGCCTGGGATGGCACAAATTGAGGTTTCCTGTGAGGGGTGCCTTCACCTGCTGCTCACCCAGAGGAATTTGGGGAGGGTGCTGCTTTGGGGTGGATCTCAGCATTCCTGTGTGCACAGCTCCTGGAAGGCACCTCAGGCTGCTTCCTGCTTGAGGGAGAGTTTTTACCTGTCCTCAGCACTGAAAAGGAAGAGTTGGGATCTCCAAATTAATGAGATTAAAAACATTTTGTGTCCCCAGCCACAGAGGTTACAGAAGTGTGTGAAAATTGAGGTGAACAGAATCTGGACGAGGTTTTTTTGCGAATTCTGTGTTTGGTGTCTCTTCAGGTAAATCTGAAGCATCTCAGGCAGGCCTGAGTAACAACAGGGGTCAGAGGGGCTGTAACTGAAAAACAACATGTGGAGAGTTCCTTGAAAACTGTTTTATTTTGGCTATTTTGCATTCCAGGAAATCAGGTTCTGTGTACCCTGGGGTCACTTGTCGTACCTGAATCATGGTAATCCTGTGGTTCTTAATGCTTTGGGTGTTTTTGTTACAAATGAAATGTTACTGCAGGCTCAGTGGCACAGTTCCTTCTTCAGAAACATGGGAAATGGGAATTTTAGGAAAGGCAGCAGCCTTTTTCTTGTTGGGCCAGAGGCTGTCACCGCAAAACTCCATTCATGCTTTACAAGAAAGAAAATTATTTAATCACTAGAGATTTTTTTTCTAATGCCCCTGAGGATTTAAGGGTTTATACCAAAAAAAACCCAACCCAGAGTGGGAAAGAAAAGCAGTTTCATCCTGTCTCCTTCCTTTCTGGTGGATCTCCTCAGCTGGGAGCTGCTGCAGCAATGGCAATTTTTCCACTTTCACTTGAAAAGACAAAGAGCCACCAAAAGAGAGGGGACTTGATGAGCATTTTGCACCTTGAGCTGCAAGGTGACACAGTGGGGTTAACTGTGGGGAATGGGGGAATGACAGAGATCATAATTTATTATAATCTACTATAATCTAATATAATCTGTTATAATCTAATATAGTCTATTATAATATATTATATTCTACATATAATAGTATATATTACAATATTATAATATAGGACATTATATGACATGATATGATAAATATAATTATATATAGTGTAATATGATGTGATATAGGATGTAATATGATATTATACCATGTAATACTGTATAATATAATTCTAATATAATATAATATGTTGGTATATGATATAATACTATATAATATAGTAATATATGATATGACATCTAATATACTATAATATAACGATATAATACTATATAATATAGTAATATATTATATTATATGACATCTAATACACTATAATATAACATAATATAATATAATATGTTGGTATATGATATAATACTATATAATATAGTAATATATTATATTATATGACATCTAATATACTATAATATAACATAATATAATATAATAACATATATTAATATATAATAATATGTATTATATGCATTATATTATATCTATTATAATCTATATAGAATCTAAGAGCATAAAGCACATAAAGCTCATAGCAGAGCCCACCCCTCAAGCTCTGGGTACAGAACATGTAGAGAAACCCTCAGAGCAGCCCCAGAAAGTCAGGGAGTTTTGCCAGAAGTCTGCTTTGAGGACACTCAGCTTTTCTGTCTCATTTCAGAGTCCCTCTGGTGGCAGCAGCGAGTTCCCATCCTGAGGTCTCAGGAAGAAAATTTGCTTTTTATTTCTAGGCTGTAAAACAGAGAGGTTGCCCCAAATCACAGCACAACATAAGAGCATTTTATACCTTCAAAGCAGAACATTGCTGCAGCATCTGGAGGGGGAGAGAAGAGAAGAGAAAAACCTTCCAGGACTTAAATTTCCTCTCCCGTGTTTCTTCCTATGCCAAACCCAGGCTAATTCCATTCCTGTCATTTTGCACAGCATCCTCCCAGCCAGCACCCACAGAAACACCAGAGCTGGGGCCTAACCCCAGCTCAGCCCAGCTGGGCTTTTCTGCCTGACAATATTGGGATTTGCTGTTAGTTCCTGGTTTTTCTGCCTGTTAATATTGGGGTTTGCTCTTTCTGGTTTTAATTCCTGTTAAAATTGGGATTTGCTGTTAGTTCCTGGTTTTTCTGCCTGACAATATTGGGATTTGCTGTTAGTTCCTGGTTTTTCTGCCTGTTAATATTGGGATTTGCTGTTAGTTTCTATTTCTTCTGGGGAATGGAGAGGTGCTGAGTTAATGGCTGTGGTTTATGAGAAATGCATTGTCTTCAAAACAGTAGCCCCAGCTTTGGAGGGTGTAAGTAGCTTGTAAAGTTATTGTTATTGGCATTATACAAGTTTTTTGCCCTTGTTTGGGAATGTGTCTAAAGCACAGCAGGGAGAAAGGATGGCAAAGTGCTGGGAGGGGTTGGATGGCTCAGGCTGAGCTTTGTGAAGGCAGAGGGAGGAACTCCTCCAGCCAAACCTCTGGGATGCAACAAGCTTCTGTCAGACTCCCAACACTGAAAAAAAAATTAATATATCAATGTTATACTAAATCTAAGTATATTAAAATCTTAAATGGGATATATGTCAAAATGGGGTTTTTAAATCATAAATATTTCGGCTCAGGAATGCAGCTTTCTGCCCACACTGAGTTTCTGGTTTGGCATATATCACTTCTGGGGGAAACTGATTTCAGTTTAACAAATGTGAATGGTCAAAACTGAGCTTTGTGATCTGTGGTCACAACTGGAGCCATCTTGTCCCCAAAGAAAATGCTCCCAATGGAATTTACCAAAGCAAAACTGCTGCATCATTTCACTTTGGTTGCCCACCCAAGAAAGGGAGAATTAAAAGAGAAAAGGGAGAAATGAATCCTGTAGAAGTCCTCTGGCATTTGGGCTCTGCATTTCTGGTTCTCTCCATTTGTAATACAAATTTTAATTTGGAAGAAATATTTTGGTGAGTACTAGAAATGCTTCTAGAGTCAGAGATGGGGTGAAGACTTAAAAAACAGTCATTAAAACATTTATTGAAAAAGGCTGAACTTGAATACTGTGGAAAATCCCACCCAGACCCCTCCATCGAGATATCTGGAAGGAAAGTAGTAAATAAGTAGTAAATAAGTACTAAACAAGTAAATAACAATCAAACCCCCAGCAGTATCAGCCATGCCTGGCAGAGGGAACAGTTCTAAAACCAAAGCCATGCTGATGCTGGAGGAGTAAAATCTGCCAGGTTTGTTCCAGCTTGTTTTGGCCAATCTCTCTGAGGTGCTGTTAGCCTTTCCTTGTGCATTCCCGTTAGGATCTTGAATTCAGCTCCTGAATCCTTAACTAGAACCAAACATGATTCCATCCAAACAAAGCAAGGGAGATTCCTGAAGCTAAATGTGCTGTGTCCAAACCCACAGCCTGTTCATCTGTGTGCTCCTGCAAGCCAGGGCTGTCCATCAAACTCACAGCCTTCTACCTCTGTTATTCTTTTAAATATCAGCTTGACATTTGAGAAGCACAAGGCTGCCTCTTGCAAGAAGCCTCTCAGGGAAAGGCACTACAGAGCAATTATTCTTG